ATTGTGTGTGTGAGTGTGTGTGTGTGTGTGTGTGTGTGTGTGTGTGTACACTATATGGACAAAAGTATTGGGGCTCCTGCACATCATACCTACATGAGCTATTATGAATCCCATTCTAAATCCGTAGGCATTAATATGGAGTTGATCCCTCTTTGCATCCCAAAGGTGTTTGATGGGGTTGAGGTCAGGGCTCTGTGAGGGCCAGTCAAGTTCTCCCACACCAAACTCACCCAGTCAGGCCTTTATGGAGCTGCTTTGTGCACTGGGGCTCAGTCAGGCTGGAACAGGAAAGGTTCTCCCCCAAACTGTTCCCACAAAGCATTAAGATTTCCCTTCACTGGAACTAAGGGTTCTAGACCAACCCCTGAAAAATAACCCCATATCATCATCCCTCCTCCACCAAACTCTACAGCTGGCACAGTGCAGTCAGGCAGGTAACGTTCTCCTGGCATTCACCAAACCCAGACTTGTCCATCAGACTGACCGATATAGATGTGTGATTCGTCACTCCACAGAATACGTTTCCACTGCTCCAGAGTCCAGTAGCGGCGCTTTACTCCACTCCAGTCGATGCTTGGCATTGCGCATTTTGATCTTAGGCTTGTGTGCAGCTGCTCAGCCATAGAAACCCATTTCGTGAAGATCCTATATATATATATATATATATATATATATATATATATATATATATATATATAATCATTGCTGTCTGAACTTTATAGGAGACCAAAAAAACTTGAAATGGAAAGTAATGTAACAAGACTTTTTTCCAAGTAATTTTGGGCTGTTTATGAAATTTTTACACAAGAATTTTCAAATTATACAAACACAAACATATAGAAGTCAAAACTGCCCCATTACTGAATGTTAGATTGCCTGACCGGACAGGTGATTTTCAAAATGCCACTGTCCCCACTTTTGTTTTACTGGCCCTGAGCAGTTACGCAAGCATTAATGCTGGGTGTTGTCAATAGATTTCTTTAATCAAATAGCTGTTTTGTAGAAATATATAATATTAAATTTCGTAATATACGTGTTATCATGTGTGAGAACTGCAGCTGCTAAGAGTTAAAGTGTTGAATATCAGTTAAACCACTGAAAAGCTCGAGGCCCAGGGAGCCTTAAGTAAAAAGGTCAGGTTTGAATCTCAGCTGTGCTGTTTACTTTCCGTGCTGGAGCTCTTTGAGGAGGCAGTGGGCCATGTTCTCAGCGAGGGAGGAGGACAGTGAGGTTCCTCTCTGTTCTGCGGCTCTGTATTACCCAGAGGAGCAGGCGTGTGCTGGCGCTCACCCTCATGTTTCGGTGGTGCTGTCGTCATCATATCACACTGAATTGCTCTGCTGCGTTTGGGGAATTGGTCACGACTGAAAGGAGGAAAATGGATTTTAAAAGAATCAGACTTTCCTATTTCCTCTGTAATACTTTCCTCTGCAGATAACAGTCTGATTCAAATCTGATTTGCAGCTTTTTCGACAGAATCTCAAATATATGTTGTCTTTTTAAAAATGAGTCCAGTCACATCAGAATTAGAATCAGAATGACTTTATTATGTTACACATACAAGGAGTTTGTCTTGGTGTGTCACACATGTATCACATATAACACACTGAACAGACTAGACAAACACAGACTGATAACAAGTATTAAACTAAGAGACAAATCTAATAAAAAAGTACAATAGATGAGGCCAGTGTGAATAGAGCTAAAGACAAGTGTGAATATCTGTACATATGCAGATAATTATTCATTAATTTATCCTTTATTTTACCAGGTAGTACCATTGAGATCAGACAGTCTGGCCTGGCCAAGATAGCGGCCATACAGACTCACAACATATTAATACATGTATGACATAAAATACATATACAACATGATATACAAGATGTAAATATGTCTAGTTATAGATCTTTCTGCAGATTATTCCATATCCAAGGTGCATAATAAGCAGTGGTGGACGAAGTACACAAACCATGTACTTGAGTTAAAGTAGAGATACCCAAGGTAAAATATTACTCCAGTAAAAGTAGAAGTTCCTCCCTTTAGACCTCCACTGGAGTAAAAGTACAAAAGGATTTGCCTTCAAACGTACTTAAGTATCAAAAGTAAAAGTACTAAAAGATTAATTATGACTCTGATGACCTATTATCATTTTTATAACAAGACTCGCCTCATTAACTCATTTTAGGTGAAAATACTCCAGTGTCTCTCTTGGTAAACCAGCCTTTTAATAGAAGGTCATTAATTAGTGACGCTGATGTCTATTAAAATTATCATAAGCACAAAACACTGAAGGCAAACAGTTTCCATCAGGTAGAACTGAGTGGCTCTGAAATCACTTTTTACAAACAAGCAAAGTTTCAGTTTAAGATTTATTTGAACTTAGTTACAAGTTTAAGTTTAATAAAAACTTTAAACTCAGATTCACAAATGAGTTTCCTTTACTAAACTGCATCTGTAGGTCTCTGTTCATAAACATAAACTAGACAAAACTAATTTACTATAAAATGAAATGTGTTTGTATAAATTCAGAAAAAAGACACGTCAGTCTCAACTGCATATGAGTACATATTTCTATATTGTGGTCTGTTTACACAAAGTTAGGTTGGTTCATCATTTAGGTAGGAATAGGCCCTGATTGGTGTTCTTACTTTGCGCTTCTTACATTTTGACATGTTTTTATACACACATAAACCAAAAGGAACGACAGATTTCTCATAATGTAGTGGAGTAAAAAGTGAGATATTTGACTTTGAAATGTAGTGGAGTGAAAGTAAAAAGTCACCCAAAATGGAAAAACCTCAGTAAAGTACAGATACAGGAAAAACTACTTAAGTACAGCAACGAATTACATTTACTTCGTTACTGTCCACCACTGATAACAAGAAAATGCAGTTTTTGCCAGATCTGTCAAAACCCACCTACATTCAGAAGTGACCACCTGGAAGAACGTAGCTAGTAATACATATCTCTACATATGTGGGCCTGAGTGGTATAATACAGTGCTATTATACAGAGAATATTACAGAATGATATGAACGTTTGTATGAAATTAACATTTGTACTGTAGTGTAGTTAAGCATTCCGTTACAGAGGAGTGAGGAGGTTTGATGGTCAGTTTAAGTGTAAAGTATGAGTGTCCACTGTGGTTAATGAGCTACAGCTCTGGGAAAAACCTGTTAGCATATTCGGCCGTGCTGGTTTTGGTGGTCCTGTATCTTCTACCGGAGGGAAGAAGCTGGAAGAGGTGATGTCCAGGATGAGAGGGGTCAGCTGACAAACTAACCAAACTAATCGAAAACACTGAAAAAAGTTACATAAAATCGATGTCAAAGGAGCGTCAGCTTCAGAAATAACAACGAGGCAACAATCGAAAACAGATGAATGCAGAGTTGGGAACTGCAGAGGAGAGCGCACTCGGTTCTGTTTGACGGTGACCACAGTGATTGCGTAATCTTTGTGGCGCGGTCTTTGTTTAACTTGACGCTGTAATAATAACTAGATCACATTTAATTGCATCTCTTATTGGAGGCCGCAGTGATGGCGAATGCAGCGTCTGCCTGTAATGATAGCTCTGCGCTTCTGTCAGCAGTTTGAAAGGGTAACTTAACACAGCGTGTGACTCCAGAGTCTCACTGCCTGAGCCACAAATCAGGCTTGGCCTCTCAGCCTGTAAGTCACAGTAACGAGTTTTATTTGTCTGACTCTGTGCAGTAAAGCATACGTGTGTGCTCGAGTACTCGAGTGCTCGGTTAATCATTCGGGAGCCAGTATTCAAATACCGGAACCACTGTCCACCTGTTCCTTATGTTACGCCACACAACGTCAGGGAGGCTGGCAGTTTAGTGAAGGGCTTCAATGTGCGACAGTTTTGCTCGTGTTTAAGATCTAATAAGTATATCATATTAGGGGTTCGCAGTATGATGATGTTTTATTGCTATTGTGATAAATGATGTCACTGCTTTTCTGAGCAAATCGCAGTACTTAAAAAACACTGACTAACTATATGTTTAACTGTGAGCGAGTTTAATTGGATTTAGTGCGGCCCAGTTTGTAAAACATTGACCAAAAGTCATTTTAGTTGCATTGTTATTGTAATAATTTTAATATGTGGCACTACAGGTTCTATTCTGATTGTTTTAAGTTTAAATCTTAGAAAAACTAAATATTGTGAAAACGTTTTGAAGTATGGTGATGCAATTTTTTCCCATATTGCCCACCACTATATCATATACTTTGCTACAGCTAGACATGAGTGCCTGAACATGATTGCATTGCCAAGGACGCATTCTTAAAGGAGAACTCCAAATTTCTGCGTAATTAAGTGGTTGAGATGTAAACAGAGTGGTTCAGAGTGGTTTGGTGTGAAACGTCAGAGTCAGAACTGTCCACAGTGGTGGTGATAGGAACCAGACGTCCACCTCTAAAAGCTCCCTCACAGAAATTACTACATGAAATGGTTATGAATTCACTGCCTGATGACTGAGACACTGTTTTATGATAGTTTTGAGAACTTAAACTCCATTCATGGTGGAGGGATACATGCAGGGCGCTGTGAGGCAAAATAGTCCACAAAGAAAACTTATTATTTCAGATTTATCACAATTTTTCCATCATCAAAACCTCAGAAGACTCATGTAGGTTCACTGGTGGTTCTGGATAGTAAATAAAATGTCTATATTTGTGTTGTAGTCATGGCGACCCCTGGTTCCTATCACCACCACTGTAAAGACATCTGAACCACTCTGAATCTCTCTGTTTACACCACTGAAAATGTTGCCTTAAGCTAATCTGCCTTCTATTTTCATTTTGTCAGAGCATTTAGCTTTATAAAAACCAATATCTGAAAAAGGCTGTGCTTTTAACTGCCCCAGTATAATGCTGAGGGCACAAGCTAATATGCTAACCCTCAGCTAACACACCTACAACAAGCCAGCATTCAAGTCACAGTGTGACACTCTGCAGTATCTCTTATGTGTTTGTTTGGTTTGTTTGTTTTTCAGAGTATTAGGCGTGAAACATGTTAATAAGTCTACGTGGACAGGAAGAATGACGACACCCAGATGAGAGGCATGGAGCTGAAGGTGTGGGTGGACGGAGTGCAGCGCATTGTCTGCGGGGTCACTGAGGTCACCACATGTCAGGAGGTTGTGATCGCCCTGGCCCAGGCCATAGGTGAGACACTTTATTTACTTGATCAGAGTGCACTTACAGACACAAAGCACTGTGAAAGTTCTGAGAAACTCGCTGTAGCAGGGCATGTGCTACCCCAGGCTCAAGGAGGACACTGCAGGCAGGAGAAACACCTGCAGGAGCCGTATTTTATTCACACACCCAGTAAACACAAAGCAAACAAAACCACATAACCAAAGCTATGCTGGCCACTTTTCAGTGGCTTAAGCTGCAGCCAGACTTCTCAGCCCTTTATCACTTCAGCTCTTTAGCTCTTCACTTAGCCTCTGTTGGTGCTGCTCGTCCCTCTCTCGAGATTTTAGGCTTTTCGGTTCATGAATACATGTCGAATGCTGATCTCCCTGAGAAGTTCCAGTAGACGAACAAGCACAAGCTCCTCAGGGTTGCTCCTCTCCACTGCTCAGGCAGATCAGAGCTCCATTCAGTCAGAGGCTCAGCGAGACCATTTGTCCTGGTCTGAGTTTGGGGTGGGGAGTGATGGATGTGTTATTATCAGGAGACTCTCTTCTGCTTCCTGCCTCTTTCTCCTGATTCTGTCTATTTGTCTTTCTGTGCACAAACAACAAAGCTGCCTGCACTCAGTGGCAGAGACAGTGGCAAATTGTCACAATTAACTGATTAGACTCAATTATTTCATTATTTGATTAAAAACTACAATATATGACCATAAATATGATCACAGTTAAATGAGCTTGTTGCACGTCCCATTTAAAATCCATGGGCATTAATATGGAGTTGGTCCCCTTTGCGGTTGTAACAGCCTCCACTCTTCTGGGAAGCTTTCTACAAGATGTTGGAGAGAGTCTGTGGGAATTTGTGTCCATTCAGTCAAAAGAGCATTTGTGAGGTCAGACACTGATGTTGGACGAGAGGGTCTGGCTCACAATCTCCCTTCTAGTTCATCCCAAAGGTGTTCAGTCGGGTTGAGGTCAGGGCTCTGTGAGGGCCACTGGAGTTCCTCCACACCAAACTGGTCACTCCCTGTCTTTATGGAGCTGCTTTGTGCTCAGGGGCTCAGCCATGCTGGAACAGGAAAGGCTCTTCCCCAAACTGCTGACACAAAGCTGGAAGCAGATAACTGTGTAAAATGTCTTTGTGCTGCAGCATCAACATCACCCTTCACTGGAACTGAGAGCCCAAACTCTGAAAAACAGCCCCGCCCATCATCCCTCCTCCACCAAACTGTACTTTTGGCTCTGCAGTCCGGTAGGTAACGTTCTCCTGACATCCACCAAACCCAGATTCATCATCAGACTGACAGATAGAGAAGCTGATTCATCTCTCCAGAGAAACTGCCACAAAATGCAGAGGTGGCATCCTATGACAGTGCCACATTTAAGTCACTGAGCTCTTCAGTACGACCCTCTACTGCCAGTGTTTGTCTATGGAGACTGCACGGCTATGTGCTTGACTTTATACGCCTGTCTTCAGTGGGTTTGGCTGAAATACCTGAACTCAGTATTTACAAGGGGTGTCCACAAACTTTTGACCATATAGTGTACATTCTCACTGAATCAGCAGTGATTAGTTGTCAGTTTGCATAACGATAATGCATATTTAATATTCTCCTACTGCTTTCTTACAGTAAGAAACAGAGTCTGACTGACGCTCACATTTATGTGTTTTTCTGGCACAGTTTGTTTTATGAAGTCTTTGTGCAGCATGGCAAAAATTATACTTGACACTTGACGTTTTCATGATGTATCACAGTATTTAATTTTTTTCTGTGCTTTTATAAAGCTTTGACAAGAAGCTATATTAGGTCGTATTTAAATCTATGAGTTTAAAAACTGTGAATACAGTGACTTCACTGCACAAAATCCAGTTAAGCAAAAGTAATTATGCTCTGTTTGTAATAAAGCATGCAGTTTATCATTCCTCATGTACTGATGATGTTCACGATATGCTCAGAAAGGTGTATTCCACAGTTTATCACAGTAACAATAAATATACCGATCAGGCATAACATTATGACCACTGCCTTGTTTGTAAACACTGTGTCCACTCACTGTCCACTCTATTAGACACTCCTACCTTGTCAGTCCACCTTGTAGATGTAAAGTCAGGGACGATAGCTCATCTGCTGCTGCACAGTTTGTGTTAGTCATCCTCTAGTCCTTCATCAGTGGTCACAGGACGCTGCCCACAGGTCACTGTTGGCTGGATGTTTTTGGTTCTCAGTCCAGCAGCGACACTGAGGTGTTTAAAAACTCCAGCAGCACTGCTGTGTCTGATCCACTCAGACCAGCGCAACACACACTAACACACCACCACCACGTCAGTGTTACTGCAGTGCTGAGAATGATCCACCACCCAAATAGTACCTGCTCTGTGAGGGTCCATGGGGGTCCTGACCACTGAAGAACAGGGTAAAAGGGGGCTAACAAAGTATCAGAGAAACAGATGGACTACAGTCTGTAACTGTAGAACTACAAAGTGCACCTATATAGTAAGTGGAGCTGATAAAATGGACAATGAGCGTAGAAACGAGGAGGTGGTCAGAATGTTATACCTGATTGGTGTATCATTATTTTGCCCACCCCTACTTTCTAATGTATCTAAAATCTTTTCCAGTAAAGTATTTTTGAATATTTGAAAGATTTTGCATGTTTTGTTGTTGTACAAGTAAAGCTTTTCTAATTTTTTGGCATTGTAAAAGAAAACTGAGCTCACTTTCATGCTAAACATTCCCATCGGTGGGACTCCTCCTTTGGAAACCCCTCTTTAGTGTAAGACATCTTAATCTGTATGTGGAGAGCGAGCCCATGACATTTTACCCAAATCAGAGGCTGAACACAGAACCGTTTGTTTCCTGTTTGACCTCCCGCTGTAGCGGAGCCCCCTTTTGTGTGTCTGTTCTTTACCCCATGTTATGACTCTTCGCTTAGCAACAAGCGCTCTTTGTGCGGGTGTTTTTATGAGGGTAGTCTTTGGAACAGCGTGTGAAGTACAGTATTGTCTCCCAAACTCTCACAGCACTGCTTTTAACCGAGCAGTGGGAAGAAATGGCACTTGGTCACTCCTTCACCGGAGCAGAGTGCTGGAAGTAATCCAGTCATTGATGCTTGTGGACATTTGGACATTTGTCTTCTCCGTCTTATTCTCAGTGTCTTCACTGTACACTAAATGTTCAAAAGTATCCAGGCAGCTACTTTAAGGGGCTTTCATTGCTGACACAGATGTTCAGTTTGTATAATTTCCATAGAAAAGCACTGACCAGTAGAATGAGACAGTCTGGAGCAGCTACATATGAGCCTAAGGTCACCATGCCCAGTGCCCAGCGTGGGCTAGAGGGGTATAAAGCCCCCCAGCATTGGGCTGTGGAGCAGTGGAACTGTGTTCTCTGGAGTGATGGAGCTCCATCCAATACGATGAGTTGGAGTGATCCAGAACTGACCATCCAACATCAGTACCTGACCTCACTAATGCTCAATCAGATCCTCACAGCAATGTTCAACATCTGGTGTAAAGCTTTCCAGAAGAGTAGAGGCTGTTACTGCAGCACAAACTCACTATTAACACCTTAATTTCAGAAGAAACGCTGGAGGTGGAGCAGTTAGTTCCAGATTTTGTCCTGTAACGTTGAAGTTCCTACAACGATAGTTAACGTGACGTTAATTTATCCATCCATCCATCATCTAAACCGCTTATCCTTCTGGGTCGCGGTGGGGTGCTGGAGCCTATCCCAGCTGTCATTGGGCGGAAGGCAGGATACACCCTGGACAGGTCGCCAGTCCATCGCTGGGACGTTAATTTATATGAAGGTATAATTCAGATTTCTGACAGGTGTATGTATATACACATATACATACATACGAATAAAACCATTTTCGATGCCTAAGTAAACCTACATTTGAGGTTACACTGTTAGAAATAAAGGTTCTGTTCAGGTACGTTTCTCGTTCATCAAGGTACAAACAGTGTAAACGTTCCCTCAAAGCTCCAACAGTGGTTTTAAGGTCTGATTGTGAACCTTAAATAAGTGTTTCCAGGTGAAAAGTTCGTATTTGTACCTTTTCATAACCGAATGTTTTAAACAGAACAGTAAAATAAAAGCCTGGAGACGAGACGGGGTGTGTGGAGTCAGTACAGCTTAGAACATATCATTTCAGTGGATTATGGTTCAGTTATGTTCCCTGACTAAAGGTACTGAGATGGACCCTTGAGGGTTCCACCCCAGTCGCTCTGATTAGACTAATGCCAACACCAGACTGGCCGTTGCTTTATACAGTGGACTAGACAGCAGGAGGATGTGCTTTGTTTTCATTATAACTTAAAATAGCTTTGAACTGCAATGAAAGGCGTTTCCGTAAAACAAGAACACCTCAGGAACGCCCCCTTGTCTTTCATTGGCCGTTATGTCCGCAGAATGGCTTCTCTCATTGGCGGATATGACTCTATGGTGAAAATACGCCAGTATTTGTAAAGACGTTACTCGTTCTACATGAATATTGTTTCTACATATTTTTACTGAGCACTTTAAAAACAAATATGCGAATGTACAGCTTCTGATGATTTGTATGGAGTACTGTCTCGCAGTGTTTTCAGCAGTGTTATACAATCTGCTCAACCGTTATTTGAATTAATGTGTAATAATGGATTATAATGTTAACGTCCCTGATGAAAAAATAGAAACGATTAAGAGTCTCTGTTGGTTTTTGGGGGTTTGTAATGTGTTTCAGCTTTTCTTGATGGGTTGATAATGTGAAGGATCCTAATGGTTTAACAGGTGACCTAGTGACTGATTCCAGATACATTTCTAATTCTTCACCAGAAACTAGTGGTCTCTGATGGTAACCATTAAGCCAATTCCCATTAGGAGGCAAATATTTTAATCATAGGTTTCAATCCTAATGGTTCTAATGGTCTTTATTCAGCAGGGATACCGTGGTGCTGCCAGCTTGCACAATATAACTGAGAACATTGAGCATTGTTGACTATCGAGCAACCACGTGCTTATTTTCCACAAGTTTTAAAGATGTACTAAACTGTTAATGTAATAGTAAACTTACTGAAAGCACTTACTAATCTTGTGTCTGCATCACAGAGATGTCCTCATATGGTGCTGCAGTAAGACCCTCCTCATAACTTGAAACATCCCTGACTTTGACATTCAGCCAAACGGGATAACGCTGGAACGGTTTGCGATATCTGTGTTAATTTGTGGCAGACTGGTATAATAGTTATGACAAAATCCATACTGGAATAGGAATTTAATCCCACTACTAGTGACGGCAAGTGACGCCCACTTTCTAGAACATTTCTAGAGCATTATGTCGTAGCCTGTCGCAAAGAATGGGTTAATAACTCTCTGGGGTCTGAGTTTTTTTCTCGATTTGTTCATCTCTTCTTAAACTCTCCTCTAAAGGCTCTTCATATATCATGATCCTCATATGTTTCATATCTAAATGCTCCGTTATCTTCATCACTACTTTCCAAAACCGCTGCAGCAGCTTCAGCAGCTGTAAACTCTCTGCACGCCGTTTCACATGAGTCTCTGATGTGGACTGAATGAAGAATGAAGGGTTTCCGGCGTGATGGTCAGTACTTAGTGATTTCCTGAGTGTCCATTGGTCAGTTTCACACAGAATGTAGACGGACACACGAATCCACCAGTTCCACACGGTGAGAGGCAGATGACGTGTATCTCAGCCCCTCTTCATAGGCTCATAACTCCGGATGTGAGTCTCGTATGATCTCGTGATAAGATGGAATGGAAAGGGCGACTCTACAGATTCAGGAAGTGTTTGAACTGGATTTCTGTGCAAAGATAGAGAAATGAATTTGCCGTGTGGGCGAGGTCGTGGACCCCCGGGGTTAAAATGCTGCCACTGTTCTGGGTTAAATTTAGCACCATGTTCTGTATTTATTGATGAAAAGGAATGAAAGTCTTGCTCTGTGTTGCAGGGCGCACCGGGAGGTACACGCTGATAGAGAAATGGCGCGAGACGGAGAGGTACCTGGCCCCCCACGAGAACCCGGTGGTGTCTCTGAATAAGTGGGGTCAGTACGCCAGCGATGTGCAGCTGGTGCTGCAGCGCACCGGCCCCTCGCTGTGCGAACGACCCACCTCGGAAACCTCCGCCCTTGGGCCCGAGCGCGGCCCGTACCGCCAAAGCCTGCCCCCTCTGGCCAAGCTCCGCCCCTCGGCCCCAGACCGCTCCCTGAAGCGGCGCGAACCCAAGCGCAAGTCTCTGACCTTCACCGGCGGCGGCAAGGGCCTGCGGGACATCTTCGGGAAGAGCCGAGAGCCGGGCCGGACCCGCAGTGCTACGCCGGGCCCCGTGGCGCAGGAGCTGGGCCAGCTGGTGCAGCTGCAGAAGGAGAAGCTGCGCTCACTGGAACAGCGTCTGCAGAGCTGCGAGCAGGAGCTGCGGGAGGAGCTCCTGACGGAGGAGGAAGAGGAGGAGCTGCTGCAGCTGGAGCAGCAGGTGCGCCGGATGGAGGCCGAGATGGAGGAGCAGGAGTTCTGGGAGAGCGAGCTGCAGATAGAGCAGGAGAACGAGCGGCAGCTGCGGGAGCGCCTGCAGGAGCTGCGCAACCGCGTGCAGGAGTGCGAGGCGCGGCTGGCCGAGTACCTGGCGCAGATCCAGTGCATGGAGGCGTGTCTGGAGGCCGAGCGGCTTCAGCAGGAGCTGCAGCAGAGCAGGCAGGCGGACGAGGAGGAGCTGCGGGCACGGATGGAGAAAGTGAGGACGGAGCTGGAGATGCAGGTGCAGCAGGCAGCCAGGCTGGAGAGCAGCTGCAGAGCCGTGGAGCTTTCTCTCGGACAGTCCAGCATCCGGCTACAGGTGAACCATAACTTTAAACATTAAAGTTAAAATTAAATTAACCGTTAAATTGTCCAGGTATTACAGGGATCAGACACAGCAGTGCTGCTGGAGTTTTTAAACACCTCAGTGTCACTGCTGGACTGAGAATAGTCCACCAACCAAAAATATCCAGCCCACAGCGTCCTGTGGGCAGCGTCCTGTGACCACTGATGAAGGACTAGAGGATGACCAACACAAACTGTGCAGCAGCAGATGAGCTATCGTCTCTGACTTTACATCCACAAGGTGGACTGACAAGGTAGGAGTGTCTAATAGAGTGGACAGTGAGTGGACACAGTGTTTAAAAACTCCAGCAGCACTGCTGTGTCTGATCCACTCAGACCAGCGCAACACACACTAACACACCACCACCACGTCAGTGTTACTGCAGTGCTGAGAATGATCCACCACCCAAATAGTACCTGCTCTGTGAGGGTCCATGGGGGTCCTGACCACTGAAGAACAGGGTAAAAGGGGGCTAACAAAGTATCAGAGAAACAGATGGACTACAGTCTGTAACTGTAGAACTACAAAGTGCACCTATATAGTAAGTGGAGCTGATAAAGCCTGTTTATTTCTAAGGGATAAAGAGAGGCTGGAAAATGGCCATGTGGAATGAATTATGAATGATTTTTGGTACAGAAAAATTGCACAAATATTATAAGTAGATCCCTGGAAAAAAATAAAATAGAAGAAAATATAGGATATGTGGCCCTTGATGATGTAATGTATATTTGTGTTACTCTTTTAGGTTTATTAACCAAGAAAACCAACTCTGTGCTGTTCATATGCATGATGTCTCTGCTGAAAAGACCAGTTTACCATGAAAAACATTCTTATACGCATGAGGAGTGGAGGAATGTTGACGCTGAGGTGGAAAGGAGTGAGGTTTCGGGAGGGTGTGGTGGCTGGGAGTGCAGAGAAGGGTGGAGAAGAGGAGAGGAGGCAGTGAATTATGTAAGAGGCCAGGCCCGGGCAGAGCTGACAGATTAATGAAATGGAGATGGATTTTGCCAAATCATATCACAGCATGTAGCAAGAGCACACTTATTTAAAGGGTCTGTATCATGGAAAACCAGATTTTCCTCACTTTTGTGAAAGAAATGAGTTTGACGTATGTAAACAGATTCTGCGGCACCACATAAAAAAAAGCTATTTAAAAAAATGAGGCATTCAGACTTAGATATTTATAAGGATTGTGCTGTGATTTATTTAAACCCAAGGCATGAATAGAAATAGTAATAAGCTAAATATATACAAAATCATCATCTATAGTGTACTGGAGTCTGTCTCAAACCCTAACCTCTAAATTTACACTTCTGAAAATAATACTAAATATAAAAATTTGTACTTTTTTCAGTGTTGCTTTTTACAAGATATTGTTAACTTCTTTTAAAGGGAAATGGAAATATTTAGATTTATCCTGAGTTTATTTTTTATTAATTGAAAAATGCTGAGTTTCGATCTCTGGGTGGAGCCTTATTTTAGCCACGCCCCTGCATTTTAGAGCAGGAAGTGAGGCTGCATCCCTGACCCTCATGGCCACATGGTGAGCAGTTAGATCCCATTGTTTTGAAGTAAATGTGTCCCAAAGTCTGAAAATCAGTGTGGAACATTAAGAATCGTCATATTTTCTGCAGTTCAGCACTTTTTAGTGTTTTAATGATAAATATGATGATTTTCTGTGTGAACAGCTGTTCAAAGCTGTGTTTGCTGGTCATGAACTGCTGAGTTTCTGAGCTCAAAATGAGCTAAAATTGTCACTGAAACAGTCACTACTGACACAGTTACTACTGAAACAGTCACTACTGAAACAGACACTACCGACACAGTCACTAATGAAACAGACACTACTGAAACAGACACTACTGAAACAGTCACTACTGAAACGGACACTACTGAAACGGTCACCACTGACACAGTCACTACTGAAACAGACTCTACTGACACAGTCACTACTGAAACAGACACTACTGAAACAGACACTACTGACACAGTCACTACTGAAACAGACACTACTGAAACAGACACTACTGACACAGTCACTACTGAAACAGACACTACTGAAACAGTTACTACTGAGACAGTCACTACTGAAACAGACACTACTGAAACACACTACTGACACAGTCACTACTGAAACAGACACTACTGACACAGTCACTACTGAGACAGACACTACTGAAACAGACACTACTGACACAGTCACTACTGAAACAGACACTACTGAAACAGACACTACTGAAACAGACACTACTGACACAGCCACTACTGAAACAGACACTACTGAAACGGTCACTACTGACACAGACACTACTGACACAGTCCCTACTGAAACAGTCACTACTGAAACAGACACTACTGAAACAGTCACTACTGACACAGTCGCTACTGAAACAGACACTACTGACAGTCACTACTGAAACAGTCACTACTGAAACAGTCACTACTGAAACAGACACTACTGAAACAGACACTACTGACACATTTGGTACAGTTTGGTAGAGTTATGATTGTTTTGGTAGTGAGAAAATGGAATGTTCAATCATTAGTTTTAATAAAATAAACATCATTAAGGTTTAGAGTCACTCAGAGCAAAAGGATTTTAAAGTCCAAAATCAGTTAAAAGTCCAAAATGTGTTTCAGCTCTGACTCTGAACCAGTTCAGCAGAATCACCCAAAACAAGAAGCAACTTGTCTTTGCACTGTTTTCATTTAAATACAGGTCAAAGTTGATGTACAAACTACTGCTTTCTGTTTTTATTAGCATTTTTCATACTGTCCTAACTTTTTTGAGGATTGTAGTTTTGTGATGTGAGTCTGATTGGTTTTCTTCCCACAGGAAAAAGAGCAGGAGCTGGAGCAGTTAACCAAGGAACTGAGACAGGTGAACCTTCAGCAGTTTATCCAGCAGACTGGCACCAAAGTCACCGTGCTACCAGCAGAACCTGCTGAAGAGGAGACCAGCAGAGGTGCAAGGCTGTTTTTAACGGGACTGCAGAACCTGTTTTGGAGGGTTTTTAACAGTAAACAGGATATAAAGGTGTAAAAAAAGGAAAAGACCTTTTAGCTCAGAGTAGTTTGCTCTAGAGAAATGAAGCGAATGGTCCAGTTCAGGGGTCGACGATATGGCAAAAATATTATATCATGATACTTTGACATTTTCATAGTACACAATATGCATGACGTTATTTAGTTTTACTGAGATTTAATTTACTGAAGTTGGAACAGACAAAAGAGAACCCGTGGTGCCACATACAAGCTACGTTCACATTACAAGCCTCAAAAATCAGATTTTTTGCTCAAATCCGATCTCTCTGACACGATGGTTCACACTCGTTTAGGTAAGTGATTTAAATCTGTCATTAATGTGAACCGGCGTCCTGAAATGACCCTCATGAGCTCATCCTACTCAGTAACGTCACGTGAATGAATCACGTTCATCAGCAGCACAAACTAACGAGCAGAACGAGCTTCGCTGAGAAGATCATTAACTCTGATCAGCTCTCAGCTTCATTATTAGAGCGAGACGAAGGAGAAAAAGGTGAGATGAGCTGCTTTTCCACTGTTTATAGGCTTTAACGTCTGTTCGGCGCTGTTGCCATGGTAACGCTGAATGATGGTGCAGTGGGAAAAAAGCACATGAATTCCAATCTGAGCGTCACATTAAGGTCGCATGGCCACGAATCGGATACGTATCCGATTTAGGACCACATACGAAAGTGGCTCAGGTCAGATTTGAAAAGATCAGATTTGTGTCCACACAGCTCTGAAACATCAGATCTGAGTCACATTTGGGCAAAAAATCAGATTTGTGCCACTTCAGCCTGGTAATACATAGTCATTACTGTAATGATATGTAATGATAATAATAAAAAACCTACAACTAAAATGATTTTTATTCAGTGTTTTACTGTGCTGCACTAAAACCAATTAAATAGGCCTAATTATGGTTATTTTGGAAAGAAATGTGCAGTTATCATGTGTTACTTAAGTAATGATCCACAATATGCTCAGAAAAGAGTATTGTGACATAATTTGTCACAATGATAATATAATATTATATTAATGATAGTAATGAAAATATCTTTATTTATAGAGTACTTTGCTCACAGTGCTTTACAGACAGCTGATAAAGCTTAACAGTGACAGAAGAAACTATGAGTGTTAATTTAAAATCACATAAGATCAGATTAAACAGATAAACAGAGTAGAGTTTTACTGAAGCTCTGAGTTAAAGAGCTGCGTTTTCAGATGTTTATTAAAAGTGAGCTCTGAGCTCGACTGTCTAATAAAACCTGAACTGAGCTCCACAGCAGGTCCGAATCTGCAGATCTGAGATCATAAACAGACATTCAGGAGCTTTAAGGTCATTAAGAGCTTAAAAAACCAGCAGCAGAGCTTTAAACTCTCTCTCCAGGCGGTCAGTGCAGGGTGTAACGGGGTGATATGAGCTCTCTGTGTTCTTTTTGTTAGAATCAGTGCTGCTGCATTTTCCCACCCATAGTCCAGTTCTCCTACTCGTCTAGCACAAGTTCTGATCCAGAATGTTCAGTACACCTTTTCTGAGTGTTGATTGAATATCCTGATATACATTTCCTGAACATATTATTGAAAATTGGTGGGAGTTACTAGTGTGAAGTGGTGTATCTTGTCTCCAGAAGGCTTGTTTGACAGGGGATTGTGCATGACGAGGCACGTTAAGACTCGTTTGTCTGACGGTTTGAATCAACAGTTCCAGTACAGGAGGTGCCGAGTACACGCTGCACTGCAAAAAATGGTGTCTTGTCAAGTGAAATGATCTTAAATCTAGTCGATATATCTAATATTTCCCTTTTTGAGGTGGTTTTGCACTTATTATAGGATTATTTTTCTTATTTCTAGATATTTTCACTTGTTTTAGGTAATTTTGTCAAGTAAAATGATCACTGTACACTGTACTGGCAGATCATTTAGCTGGTTTCAAGCACATTTCTTTCAACAAGCACAATTATCTGCTAATCTAGTGAGATAATTTTACTTAAATTACTCAAAACAAGCACAAAATGTCTAGAAATATGTTAAATAATCTTAGTTTAAACTTGCAACAATCGCAGCAGGAGAAATATTAGATTTATTGATGATATTTAAAATATACTTGAAAATATAGCATTGTTTGTAGTTTGTGCACTGCAAAAAAATTGTATCTTATCAAGTAAAATTATCTTAAATATACTCAATAAATCTAATATTTCTCCTGTTGAGATTGTAGTAAGATTGTTGAACTTATTTCTAGGTATTTTTCACTTGTTTTAGGCCATTTTATTAAGTAAAATGATCTCACTACACTGGCAGATAATTTAGCTGATTTAAAGCACAAATTATCTGCCAGTTTTGCTCATTTTACTAAATAAAATTACTTAAAACAAGTAAAAATGTCTAGAAATAAGTTAAACAATCTTATTACAATCTCAACGGGAGAAATATTAGATTTATTGAGTATATTTAAGATAATTTTACTTGATAAGAGACCATTTTTTGCCGTGTATAAGTCGTCAGGGTGCATTGCTGTGTTCTGTGTGTGGCCACAGTCGCTCACAGGGCCTGTGCAGTTCGGTTTAGTCCAGGAAAAAAGCTCCCTGCTGACCCTTATTGTGAAGAATGGGGACAACTGCTGACATCTGCATGAGCTTAGCTGCACAAAAGGATATGGCGAGTAATCATTGATATTCCAGAACAGTGTACAGTCTTTAAAAATGACCTCTCTGACCAGCGGTTGGAAATTGTCGTATCCCACAAAGCAGAGAAAACAGACACAGTAGGTTTAAAGATCGCGCACTGCAAAAAATAATTACAGTTATCTTAGATATAGTTAGTAAATCTAATATTTCTAATGTTGAGATTGTTGCAAGATTGTTTAGCTTTAGTAAAATGATCTGTTCATGGTTCTGTATAGAACCATTTTCTACTGTAAAGCAAAGCAGACGTTACTTGGCTTCACAGTAACAAATGACTCTGGATATTTCAGCCATGATTTTGAAATACAGTGATCACATAAGAAATAAGATGGATAAGCTCAGAATAGCACAGAAAGAAGGTCTGAGCTAAGAGAACAGTGTGTGTGTGGATATTATCGATAATTTAACAGTTCAATTTATATATATATAATTACCTATATTATTATTAGTAGATATTGCCCACACCTACACTGCAAAAAATTATATTTTGGCAATTAAAAAAATGAAATGCACTTAATATATATAATATTCGTCATTATGAGACTGTTGTAAGAATATTATGAGATTATTTCACTTATTTCTATACATTTTTACTTGTTGTAGGTAATATTATTTAGTACAAAAGTGTATTTTTATTTTACTTGTTAACTTTGTTTCTTTAAAATAATCTTCATTATTTGTCAAAATAAGTAAATTGATCTGATAGAATTTCTTAAAACAGGTAAGAAATGTATAGAAATATGTGGAATTATTATTATAATCTTTTGATATTCTTACAACAGTCTCATAATGAGAAATATTAGATATATTAACTACATTTAATGTTTTCACTTAGAGTTTTGCAGTGTAGTGGAGAACACATACATACAGCACAGTGAAGTCAAACAGGTAGAGCTGTAAACCTCAAGCGTGCATGATGTAAACCTTCTGTGCTCTGTTGTCCTCCAGAGACCGAGCAGTCCAGCTCTCTGAAGCGCCTGGGGTCGGCCCGCCCGCTCCCCAACGCCTTCCGGGCCCTGCAGAGCCCGCTGACCTCCAGCTTCAACCCAGAGGGCATTTACGTCTGATCATCCAGTGCCAGTGGACGTCTATGAGTGACACCGCATCTCAAGCCATTAACCTCAAATCGCTCACTTCTCGTTCTGTCACAGCTCTGTTGTTTGATGCGAAGAAGATCCTCTCGGGACTCCGTTCTGCGTGGGTTCTGATCTTTAATGCTCCTTGTGGTTCTCTAGCTCATCACAACCATCTGGAGGTGTGTTTTCCTCGTATAGACGACGTCACATCCAGGATGAAAGAGATGCAGGACGGAAAATATACCAATATAATTGATCTGTATCTTCAACCTTCTGTTCACCTGCCTTGGAGGATGTTCCTCCGAGCATCTACGAAACAGAGCCACCTTGTGGTCAGTTTTATTCAACCCAGCCTGCCCAACTGGACTGCATGATTTTGCCTGCCAGCCTTTTTTTGCTGTGAAACAGTTTCCACAGGCCAGCGTTTGATTTCTAGAATGTTCCTCAGCTGGGATTCACCTCTCAAGACGGTCTTGACGCCTCGCCTGGTTTTAGTGCTGAGATTGAAGAGGATGTGTCACTGTGTGCTGCACTGCACGCAGTACTGAACTCTGGTTTGAGATGAAGTCTTGATTCTTTGCTGCTGGATCGCGATTAGATATGATACAACAGTCTGAACTTTGGGAAAGTGTGCACTTTATTGGCCAAAACGTCTGCTGTCCAAAAGGCGTGAGAGGAATTCCCTTTCCTCAAATACAATCGCTGCTAATTTAACTCCTCATTGGGTCCTTTTATTAGATTTCTTGGTTTATCTGGTGCTTCAAGAACAATAATATTGATGCAGTATACAAGAGAGATGCAGCATGTCGTCGTGACTGAGGGAGGAGAGGAACACAAACTTTTAGTTGTTGTCTCAATAACAAAAATAAATGTTTGCTTGTTCCAAAGAACCCAAATAAATGATCATAGGAGTGGAAGTGTGAGGCGTCTCAGAGTAAAAGTGCTGATGAGCTCCTGCAGAGGTTGGCACACTTTTTCTCAAGGTGGTTCTTGACGTGTGCTGGAGAAACTGAGGTGGTGGAACCTCCATATTTGCTTCCCTTGCTTTTGTTATTTGCTTCCAGGTGGGCGTAGCCTGTTTCCATCTGCACCATCAGGTCTATATGCAGTCCAGAGGCCTGAAAGTCCATTTACATTCTTTCTCAAGTAGCCTTTCTTTGGGTCACTGCTGGTCTCTTCAGATATTGGCTTTATGTGGTGAAACTTTCACACAGTTTACTATATAATAACATATATGATGCTAAGTTTGAGCTGAATAATGTAATGCAGGGGTCTCAAACTCAAGCACTAGTAGAGCTGGGCAGTATCACGATACTTCAAGTTTTCACAATACACATTTTTTGTGATATTTTTCAGGCTGGAATAGACAAAGATGTGCCACATAAAAACTATATCCAAATATTTGTATTAAACATTTCACACACTGTGCTGCACTAAATCCAGTTAATCAGGACTAATTATGCTCTCTTTGTAGTCAAATGTGCAGTTGGGTGTTTGTTAAGTACTAATGATATCCACCATATGCTCAGAAAAGCTTTCTGTGATATATTGTGGTGTAATTTATCACAATAACAGTAAATATTGTCATATTGCCCGGCACTAGCAACAAGCCAGATGGCCTACACCAAGTAAAATTGAAGGGGAAAAAATGTTTTTCCACTGTATAAAATTACATATACACTCATATATACACTCATATACACCCTACTACTACTCCTAAAAATAATAATAATATGTTATTCAATTAAATCAGATAGACTTACATTTTGCGGTAGAATTACACAGGACTCTTATTTTGATAGCATTATCGTTGCTGCTGAATGTGAGAGAAGTTGTTGTGAGTGAAGTGTTGGACTGAAAATCTGGATTAGTTTGATTATTCCATTCATTTCTCAGTTCTCCGCTGTGTCTCCTGCTGTGTCTCCTGCTGTGTCCTGAATGAATCCACTCAGGCAGGTCTAAGTAGCTGTCGGTCTAAATTAGAACGATAGCTGAGTTAGAGCTCAATCACAGTCAGTGTGCAGCGTCCGTGATGCGGCAGGTTTGAGTTTGGATGGTTCCTCTTGTGTGCAGCTCATCGTGATCATCAGTCTGAGCTGATTTTATAGAGCTTGTGTTGGGTAAACAGACACAGTATCTGGTAGTGATGCTACCTTTGAGCATGTGTGAGCATGTGGACTTGCACTGCATTGATGCTCGGTTCATTTTCCAGAAACGTGCCTGACCAGTGACGTCCAGAGCTTTACATATGTTCACATATGACATATGACTTTGTCTTAGTTTGTCGCACAGTATTTCACAGTCAAGGTGTGAATATATATCGTCGCTGTCCAAAGAAATACACGTATCTCCAATTTTTGCGATTTTTACTTTTGTACATCATTTGAGTTTCGTCCTTTACATTGTGTGAAAATGAAATACATACATACATCATCTAAACCGCTTATCCTTCTGGGTCACGGTGGGGTGCTGGAGCCTATCCCAGCTGTCATTGGGCGGAAGGCAGGATACACCCTGGACAGGTCGCCAGTCCATCGCAGGGCGAAAATGAAGTAGAAATGCTCCAAAATTGCTTAGAAGAAAATATATTTCCATTAACTTACATTGAAAGTAAAGAGTGTTTTTACCCTCTCCTGTAAAGTTACTGTTGGAGATACTTGTTTTTCTTTGGACAGCAACAATATTAATTTATAATATACATATATATATATATATATATATATATATATATATATATATATATATATATAATTTCTGTGGGAGAGAGTTTCTCCATCTGGAGGGAACGCTGAGCTTTGGGACTTTGCAGAACGTTTCCATGCACAAAAAGCTACATAACATGTTGGAAAGAGAAAGAAAACAGAAAAGCATAATAGGTGCTAAGAGCAGCTGCACTTTTCCAATTAAGTAAAAACCTGACAAAAGTGGAGATATGAGGTCATACCCCAGCAGAGACGGGATGAAGAATGCAGGCTTTCATTCCTACTGATTAGCGAAATAATGTAATGTGTTGCGCGCAACCTTTATTTTTGAAATGCTTGCTTAAATGTAAAGTTGCAGTGACGTTTCATGCATCCTAGGACTAGTTCATGAAAGTTTCACCAGGTAAAGCTCAGACTGAAGGCATAATGGAATGCAGACCTTGCAGACTTATGTGCAGAAGTTTGTGTGCCCCTGGTCATAGTCATATAATGTAATGTTTTGTTGATTTTCTGAGTGAAAATAAGTTAACACATCCTCTACAGCAGTGCCCCCCCCCAGTCCTCAGGGACATCCAGATGGTCCACATGTTGAGTTAGGTTTGAGCAAAAATGTGGACCATCTGGGGGTCCCTGTGGACTGGGTTGGGAACGACTGGTCTACAGAGAACGCACTTCTGCACATTTTAATGCATGTTTACTGTTTATTTGGTCAATTTAACATTTTGGGAGGAAAAAATAAAACACAAAATGTGTGCAAAAGTTGTGGCACATTTTATTTTATTCTTTTTCTAGTGTGTTAAACAAATAAATAGAAAGTGTGCAATAAAATTTCAGATTATAGAGGATGTGCTGACTTATTTTCACTTAGAAAACCAACAAAATAACTGGAAGTGTTCAAACTTTTGCATATTTCAGGCCACCAGTGATGAGCTGAATGGGGCTTGACTGGTTTAGGGTCACTTTCCCGTACAGGGATTAAGCCTAGTCACATCAAACTGGGGACCTTCAGGCCAAAGTGCTGTGGAGATCAGCGTTGACCCTCATCTAACGCTCTGAATTCAGTTCAGGCCTTGCTGGGTGTGTTTAACGAGATAATGTGCTTAAGTCTGCAGAGTTTTGGACCGCAAGGACTGGAGCCTGACACATGAGCTGATCAGCACTGTTACTCTGAAATGATATGGCCATTACTTAAACGCTCAACTGACCACAATATGACCGTACAGGAATACTATTTTGGCAATCAACTCTTTAGTTTTGGCCAATAAAGCAAAAAAACAATACTAACACTCCTATTTTTTACTCAAGTCTCACTAAATTTAATTTGCATACCCTATATTTTAACTGCATATTCATTTATATAGTATTATTTACTAACAAATCAGTGACTGAAAAGGTCTAATCAATCATTTTTGACCAAATTTGTTATATTAGGGGTAAATATAGTAAGGAGAATATGATATTCCCTCATATAAGGATTGTCTTGAACTGCAGTGAAGTTTGCTGATGTTTTATCAGCGTTACGTTCACTTTTAAATCAGCATTATACTCAGATTGCAAGTTAAAATATATTAGATGAGTTTTGTCTGGAATTTCTGAAATGAATGTAGAAGGACTGCGATGTGCCATTTACACCGTCACCAATAAAACAGAGATGTTTTCATGAATGTAGGATCATAATAACCCATCGTTCTCCACTGGCAGCATCTTTGGAACCAAGTTTATGTCAAAGTTCTGATCAGAACTCAAGCTGAGTGCTGAGTGTGTTGGAGTAATGACTAGATTCACTCGTCTGCTTTAAAAAAGGGTTTCCTGTGTCTGTCTGACGTCCCACCGACTCTAAAGCATCGGCGCTTGTTCATCAAAGTTGCGTACAATCAAATCTGATCGTTAAATGAGTGCAGACAGTTTTGTTCTTCGTCAGGTTAATCTGTGGCATGTCTCACGTCTGGTAGGAGTGCGGGAATTTGAGCGTAAAGGGTTAACAACCCTGAAAAATGCTTGATTTGTGGTTAACAAACCAAAACTATCATCAATATCATCACTAATAACTGTGCTCATGGCAAACCAGTGCTAAAGTGGACGTCCTTATTTCATATGCATATTGGTGTAAACAAATGCGGCAACTCTTCCACGTTCCATTTTAAAGCATATTACACTGTGCTTTTGTTTGATGCTACTGACTCCGCCCACATAATAAACGATATGAAACTCAGCTAGTGTCACACACTGCAATAATACAGTGTTTAAATGTGCTATTTTAGGAAAACAATCACAATCACATCATTCTGCCATCTTCAAAAACTAAGACGTTATGTTAATTTCACATTTTATTCTTTCCAGTGCTCCTAATTTTAACAGTATAAAGTTTGGCCAGTAGGGGGAGCAGTGCACTCCCTGCTTGACTTCAAACTCCGCCTACAAGCACAGCCAGTGTCTCACCTAAACATCTGCATGAATTAGGACGTGCTTCATGTAAATATGTAAATGAGGTGCTGGTAGGCTGGCGCTTGATTTCATGCACTGAGGCTGATTCGCGCTGTTTTTAATGCAACTTTGATGAATAAGAGCCACTGTGTCTTTAAAAGTATGTTATATATCTAACAAAGGCAAACTTTCGATAATACTAAATGTAATAATTAGAAATGACAAAATATTAGACTGTAAAATACTAGAGCCAAAAAGTTTCATTTTATTTGTACAAATACAGAATACAGTTTGTGAAAAAGCATCTTTGTTTTCTCCTTCAAAAAACGAAACCCGGGTAAAAGGCCAGCCTGTTACGCACTGACCACATGACCATGTGTAATAAAATCATTTAAGCTTTGTTATCAGGTCTCAGGGAGCTGATCTCACTAGAATGATAAAAGTGCCAAAAAGATGCAAAGTACAAAGCTTAAAGAAATCAAGCAAATGAGTAAAATGAAGTTCATATAAGCAAAATACAAAAACGAAAGGAAATGAAAGACGAAGGGCGTTAAGTGTTACTAAAATTAGCTAATTAAAGATGCGATGCTAAAAATAAAGTGCAGTATAAACAAAGTGCCACTCTCTGAGCTCGATTACAGACACGAAAGAGGAAATGTTTTTAACCTGGATTTAAAAATGCTAAGATAAAATGACTCTGCTTAACAAAAAAACTGCGATTTTTGCTACTTAGACGTAAATTTTTAGCGCTAAAACGTTTAAAAAAGTTTAAAAAGTCTCTCAGAACTTTTGGTTTATTGATAAAACAGTTGTGTTTTGACACATTTCCATCATTCACTTAATGTTTGTTGCAACTTGTGTATCTTTGTCTTTCCTTGAAAAAGATGGTTCTTCAAGCGTTCTGTAGTAAAGATAATGGTTCTGTATAGAACCATCAACAATCAAAGAACCATTTGCATGCTTAATTGGTTCTCTGCCTGGTGAAATGGTGTAGATGGTTGTATATAGAACCTTTTTGAAAAATGGTTCTTCTATTAGTACAAGCTTGACACTGTAACAAATAGGAGAACCCTTTTTGGTGCTACATAGAACCATTTACAAAATGCTCCTTTATACAACCATCTACAATGCATTCTCAAACAATCTGAAGAACCGTTTCACCATGCAAAGAACCATTTAATCATGCAAAGGGTTATTGAGTGTTTATGGTTCTATATAGAACTGTTATCTTTACTAAAGAACCCTTGAAGAACCGTCATTTTTAAGAGTGTAGTTTGGGATTTCCTGGAGATAAGACGCTGTAAGATAAGATAAGATTCCTAAATAAGGGTCAGATTTGCTTCTGTAATACGAATTTCTGAAAAACCTTATCTTGACCTGTCAGATCTGGACTTCGGGACTAAAGAGTGGAAGGTTCTGGAAGGTTCTGTTGTTTTGGTACAAGACAAGAATATCCACGCTGTACGTAGCTCAGCAGGCAGTTAGTTGCGGTTGTGCCGTCATGTTCACAGCACATGGTTGCTTTTAGTTGGTCTAATTAATCTACACTCCTGTGCAAACAAAATGGGCCCGAAATATAATGGTTTTTATTGCTGGTTCTGGCTGGGCAGAGTCTAGATTTCAAACCCTATAGAGAATATTTGGTCTAACATTAAATTCAAACCAGCTGGTCAGTGATTTTTTAGCTGTTTGAAGCCGTCAGTGCTGAGTGGATCAACACTGACTCTTCTTTCTGTAAAAGACTGTCTGCATGGTTATTCACTAAACTCCTACATTCAGAGAAATCAGAGTGAAAAACTATATTAACTTTCTGCAGCTGTTTGTTTAATTCTTGCTAATTTATAGACTAATGATTTTTTATTAGGTAAGGCAGGTTTATTTATACAGCACCTTTCATTCACTGCAGTCATTCAAAGTGCTTTACAAATGAGAAAATACAAAGGAATTATCATTTAAAAGTAACAAATTAAAGAACAATAGATATTAAAACCTGATCAAAACAACAGATTTTAGAAGAGAAAGTTTAGTTTAATGCTTTGCTGTTTTGGGTTTTAGCCCTTTTTGTGCACAGGAATGTATAGTTTCATGTTATTAGGTTAAATTTCCCCACTTAAAAGAGCTTAAATGTCAGTGTTGTTGATAATATAGCAGTTAACCTTTCACAACTCGCAACGTACAAGACAATTTGGTAGCACTTCCTATGAATCCGGTATTTATAATGCTTCATGAATGCGTTAATACGGTGTTATATGGCATACATTAGACCTCATAATACAGGCATAATCTTGTA